AATATCCTGATGCATGCTCAATAATCCAGGTAGAAAAATCTAAAAAATTTAGATCTGGTCCTCTGGACATTCAAAAAAACAAAACAAAGCAAAACAACAACAAAAACAATAAAAAAATGTAGAAACGTTTTGTCTCTCATCCAAGAGACTTCCTCAGTCTGAGGTGCTGTTTTCAGCTCAGTCTCTTAAATAGCACCTTCTCAGAGTGGATCAACCAGTTTGCTGCTGACAACCAGAACCAGCTGCTCACATGCTCAAGAAGGACCATCAGCCTAACAATGGATCATTAGCACCTGATGGCTGTTTACTGTTCACAGAGGGCTGAGTGATACTAGCAATCACAGCATTGTAAGAGGGGGACAGTTGAACCTGGAGGCTCCGCCCCTGTTTAACGATGGACGGTTTCTTTTCACAAAGATGGCCTCCTTTACTCCTCTCTCAAACCATCGTTCCTCTCTGTCCAGGATGTGAACATCTTCATCCTTGAAAGAGTGACCGCTGGCCTGGAGATGAGTGTAGACCGCAGAGTCCTGGCCTGATGATGTTGATCTTCTGTGCTGGTCCATCCTTTTGGCCAGTGGCTGTTTAGTTTCCCCGATGTAAGACTGATCACCCTCCTGACCCTGAACAACATACACAATATTACTCTGTTTGTGCTGGGGGACTGGATCTTTGGGATGAACCAGTCTTTAATGTATTTTGGGGTTTAAAAGCCACTGGGACGTGTTTAGAAAATAAACGTCTCAGTTTCTCTGATACTCCCTCAACATATGGAATGACCACTGGTCTGGGTCTGGGTTCCTCCTTTTCACCTGATGGCTGACTGGAGTCCTGTTTGGGTTTCTTCTTTCAGGAAGGCCCAGTTAGGATATCCACATTGCTCCACAGGCTCTGTTTAGTCCGCTTTAATCGAACTCCAGCTCGTTTTCCTAGAAAGTCCGGTTAATTTGGGGAGGTGTGAACCCGCCATCGAACTCTTGTCACGGAACAAAAAGGTGAACTC